GGGGGATGGTCACCAGCCGCTGTTTGTGCCTCTTGGGATCCAAACGCAGGCTGGAGAACCACCTCTGCAGGCGGCGCATATGCAGTAACCCCTGCGGGACCACAATGTGAGCAGCCGTCATGAGATTCAAAGTCTGCATGACAGTTAAAGCTGTCACTGTCGCCCCCTGTCGCAGCCTGTGAACCGCCCGGAGAAGCGACGCACTTCTGCTCTCTGACAGGGTGGCGCGTAGTGCGCCTGCATCGAACACCACTCCCAACTACAACGCCTGTTGGTGAGGTATGGGGGTGCTCTTTTTTCAATTGATCGCAAAGCCTAATTTGGTTAGGTGTGTGATCAATTGTGCTGTGCAAAGCATTGCCTGTTCCCTGGACCCGGCCATGACTATGAGGTCGTCTGGGTAAAAGAAAAACTCTCATGCCGTGGGCGTGCAGCGGTTGAAGCGCAGTGGCCACACATTCACTGAACGTGCGTGGGGATAGGGAGTAGCCGAACGGTACTCTGTTGTACTCGTAGGCTATCCACTGGAAGGCAAAACGCAGACATTTTCTGTGCTCCGGAGCAATTCCCACATGAAAGTATGCGTCTTCCAGGTCGATGGTGGTCAACCAATCGCCCGGTTTGCACAAGCCCCATTAACTGTTTTTATAGTTAACATGCAGAATTGTCTACAGGCAATGTAGCGATTCGGGCTGCTGAGATCTAGAATAGATCTGAATTCCCCTGTCTTCCTGAGAACCAGGAAGTACATGGTGTGAAGTAAAAACTTCTTTGCAGCAATGTTGAGCCAATCATGAAATGAGGGAAACTGGATTCGCCTTAGTCAATACACTGATATTTATTGAGACAAAACGGCCGGAGGATTAACAAAGCAACTCGCACTGTTTAATGCAAGCTGCCAAAATTAACTCTAAACACAAAAGACAGAAACATCTCTATATATCTTTTAAAGGAGGGGTCTAAACAGCCCGCCCTTTCCCCTAATCATTACCAGACACCAAGGACAAATACTGCATATATTGCCCCTCCTTAAGTGCCCCAAACCCCTCACCCACACAGAGAAAGAGTAGTCACTCATGTGAAGTTTCTCAGGTCAGCTAAGCATCAGACTAAAATATTCCTTTACACATGGAATAAAGACCATTTTCTCTGTGCTGAGGGTGCACAACAGACACAGCCTGTTTCTGCACCAGAGCCTGAATCTCTGCTGAGAGGAAACCAATCTCCTCCTGGGAAGACAGATTTCCTCTCGCATGCCCATAAAAGGAGGTGGGCCGCTGCAAAACTGGAGTGAATAGCCCCATTTCGGCGTCCTGTCCATCCACTTTGTTAGTACACAGCTGAGTTTCAATTCCCCATAACATTGTGTTCATGGAAAGCTCTCAGCTGTGGGGCTGCAGCTACTGTGGTACTCTCTGGTGACCCGTTCCGCCGAAAAACTCCCCGTGAAGGGAAGATTTGTCCATGGAGGGTCGACACAGAAAGAGCCGATTATTTACTGAGGTCACTGAACGCACCGCCGCGCGCTCCACCATAATGCTGTTTTTACCACTACGGTAAACAGTATTTAATCGGAGTCTTTATAGGCGTAGTGTGTTCTACTGAGGTCCTGAACGCCCCGCCACGCGCTCTTGTGTGAGTGCGGGCTCCGCCATAATGCAGCCTTTACCACTATGGAAAAACTGCATTAATTGGAGTCTTTGCTCTAGGCGTAGTGTGTTCTCTGACAGCAATACGCCGGCCATAATGTCCCTGCACCCACATAGCGCTCTCCTTTAGATAGCACTCCCTGCGGTTCATCCCTCTCATCTGCGCATGCCCACTAGCCACCTTCTTTACAGGAGCTACAGCTGGGGCAGCGAATGGGGAATTTGTACGGTTAACATTGTGTGTAAGTGTAGCATTTGTGGAAACAAAAGACACTCAGATTTTTGATACAGATCAACCTCATTCTTGTGCATTATACAGGAAGGAGGCAAGACTCGCCCTCTCGTCCCGGGCGGAGAGATTTTCTCCCCCCGCCAGGCCAGTCAGATCCGTGAAGACGGGCAGCCCGTCCCCGTGAGTGCCGGCACGCCGGCCACGGGGTGGGCTGAAGAGGTGGAGGGCGCCGCGGGCACGAGATCTCCGTGCCGGCACCTCTCCCTTCGTCTCACCGTCACGCCGCGCTCCCCCGTGGAGGAGAGCCCTATGCGGTGACTCTTCTCTCTACTGACGTCTTTGAACGCACCGCGGCTCGCCCTCAGGGGAGGGGGCCGCGCGCACCGTCACAATGCCGTCTCTTCGAAACGGACATTATGGGAAAAAGTGGAATTGTGGAGAGAGATTACTCTTACTCTGTGATAAATGCACTCGTTCTTGTAAGAGAATATTTTAATCTGATCTGTTTATAGAGCTCTTATAGTTTTTTAGAATCTGTGATACTGCAAACATCTGCTTGTAGTCACTCAAAGACTCCTCTGTGGGTTGAGGTCACAGGTCAAACGCTTCTCCTATATCCGTGGGGGAAGGTTTCAGGCTTGTCTGCGTTTCCTTGAGACAAGTAGTTCATTGTCTTCCATCGGCTATTGATTAGGTAAACGCGGGCTTTCTGTGGGCCGGCCTCTCCTCGTGTAGCAGCGATGTTTGTGGCTTTGGGGGCAGAGATTATCTTGGTGGAGCACAGGACAGTGTGAAACTAAGATGATCTCCCGGCCGTATGTAATTAATGTACTGTGATCAATAAACTCTCAGTGCTTTGGCTAATCGACGTTCCAGACTCCTTCATTCTACCTCAACATTGCAACAACAGAAGTTTACCTTCACAGTTCTCACTGAATGCATTTTTCCCACACACATCACTCTAGAACTAGAGTTTACAAACGTAAACCACCGTTCCCCTGCGGAGGTCACGAGGGCCGCGCGCCCACGTATTAACGCTGTATTTCCCATTCAACGGTGAAATGCATTAATCAGAGCTATTATACCAGGCAAGGTGTGTTTTCTGACAACAGCACGCCGGCAATAGCGTCTCTTGAACCCGCACAGTGCTTTGACAGCACACGGTTTATTCCACTCACGTGCACACGCCCACCTGCTGGCTCCCTATACTGGGGTTTACAGCGGGGGCGGGGAGTGTAGGACAGTGTTTCTTCCACTGGGGATGGGCAAGAATCAGCCACGCTGCGATTACTCCTTATCCCGTGAGCAAGGAGATCGATCCATAGAGCCCTCCCGTAAAGACGGGGGCTCCCAGGAGATCAACACAGTCCTCTTTGGAAAAATGCCATGCGACGTGATATCCCAGGGAAATCACAAGGCAGGCAGCGGCGGCCTGTGAAGAATTAGGGTCGACCCTATATCATGTGAAGCCACCGAGCACCGGTCCCCGGGGGAACCGGGCCTGGGGCAAGGCTCGTGGACCAAGCTACTTATTCGGCCTTGCGGCCCAATAATCGCTCTGACCTGGTGAGGCGGGGGCATCTCTAGCAATGAGCGAGTAGCCCACACACCCGCCGCCATGATCATAATCCAGGGAGCTTGAAGGAAATGGCGAACGTGAAAATGGCACCGCCTCGGCCATATCCTGGTCCCCCAAACGCTCGAAGCAGAGGTGGTGGGGGTCGGCACCCGCTATCTTTCTTTCTCTTTCTTCCTTTCTCTCAAAAAAGACGTCTCGGACTCAGTGATAGGCTATCACCTCCGCTCGCTGAAGAGTAAAGGATGATGGTCAGGAGGCGAGGCCTCCTTTTATACGGAAGTGAGATGCGCACGCATTCAGGTAGGCCCGCCCCGGGGCCGGCTACGTCCATACAAATCTCAGTAGGTGAATGCTTGCATGATAAGGTAGTACCCATAGAGTCCAGTAGAGAGCAGAGCCTGTGAGAGATATAACTGACACTGCCAGCCTTCAGATACCCAGATCCATAGGTTTCATATAACTAGATTAGTTCAATGTCATCCATAAAATGGTATCTGGATGATTCATCAAAGTTGTTCAGTTGTATTGTATTGGGGTAGTGTGTTCTGACGGTCAGGGTAAGGTGGAGCAGGTTTGTAGTGTCCTTCCTCTAGCCTGTGGTCCAGTGTCTCCTGTACATTATTCATTCATTTGGGTGGTGAACCCATAACTGGGTTCCCTTTCACAGGGCTGTCTGGACCCATATAACTCAGAGAGAGACAGTACTTCCTGTTCTCATACAGCTCCAACACTGCTATCATACTGCAGCCCTATCTGTTTCTGCTGTGCTGAATGTCACATTCCTGCGTAACTTCAGGAAACTGGGCAGAATGTCTTACCTCCTACCCCCCTGCCTGAAGTGAAGGAGAGCAGTACATGAGTCATGGATCACGTGTTCCGTGACTACTGAGGTCCAGTGGTCTCCAGTTAATTGCTTTGCCTTTTCATTGCCCTGCACAATGGTGTGAGTTGGTAATGTGGTGATTTCGCTCATTAATTTGACTCATTTATGTTAACAGCCCTAGTTAAAGCATCATTTACTCGTAATCCCCAGAGTTCTGCTGCTCGACTGATAGTGGGCACACTTTTAAAAGCCCAGTGTCTTCTCTATAACATATATATTCTTTACCGTCTCATATTGGACAGCTTTGGGGGCTCTATCTCCTGCATGTTGGTTATTCTGTTCATCAAACCAGAGTAAACATGTAGGAACAAATCTGTTCCAATGAAGAGGCTAATGGTCACATCTAGCTTCAAGCCATTTGCCCAGTCATTTTAGAATGTATTCTCCACCTTTTGACTCCATAACATGCCTATTTCATCTAAGCTTGATTCATTCATTTATTAGTATCAGTTTCCTTAGTTCATTAGTAGACTTCCTTCGTAAAGATATATCTAGCTCATGTCTTATGGGCACGTTTCTTATTTTTGTTCCAATGTATTTCACATGAGAAAGCGGAATAGACATATAAGCAGCAAACCCTGGAGTCCGGATGCCAGAGACAGACTAAGATTTGACTTTGTCCCTGTAAAGTGACATCATGCTTGTGTGTCCGTGCAGTGGTGTCCTGCTGGCCCTCAGTGAAGGTGCTGTCTCCAGAGGACGGGAAGCAGAGCATCGTGCAGGCGGCGCAGCAGCTGTGTCGCTCTGTGGAGAACAGAGAGAGGAGCTCCAGAGACATCAGCGTCTCCATGCTGGACCTGCTGCTCCGAGGTACTGCATCACTGTCCCTGGGACACTTCCTGCACCTAGAGTCTTCTCTTCCTATATTTGCTGTCTTTGTGTCCCTCTCAGTGAATGTGTCCTGTGTATGGAGGTCTCTCAGCTTCCTGTGTTCTGAGTTATTTATGGTATGAAAACAGTGCAATATTATGCAGATCTTGATATGACAACCTACACTCAAAACAAATGAAAAATATCATTATGACATATTTTACTCATGGTGCAGCCCTATGGACTTGAGTCTTTACTCAGGAATCATTGAGTGGGAATCCCTCCATGATGGTAACAGTATCGCTGCATTATAAAGGGGTTTATGTACAGAAAAATAAAGGTTGAACAGAGGAAGGAATTGTATGCATTGCAGACCAGTCGTAACGTTTGGCAAGACACTCATCTAGTCCTCATTGATGGAATATGCATTGTCCAGTGTTGGACAAATATGTATTTGACATGATCAGGATGGATTCTTATGGTCAGGCAAGATTCCTCATCAGCATAAAGTCGGGTTGAATCATTATTTAAGATGAATTGTTTTCAATAAGGATAAGATTCCCAGCGCCTTTCCTCTGCAGAAATAGAGAAGGATGCAGTGAGAACCACCAAAGATCAATAGAACATATGCTTAGTATTGGGATAGGAAACTACTGAAATTGACAGAAAAATAAGCCTTTTAAGATTGCTCCATGTTAAAATAAATAATATATAATACAAACATAAAAAAAGAGTTGATTTAATATTGACAGGAAATAATCTGCTCAGAATGAATTCAAATCAGTCGTCTCATACATACTCTTTTCAGCTATTGCATTCATTATTAGGTTTAATTTGACAGTTTCTCAGTCTTTCCTTACGGTTATTTTAATGGTCAAAATATAATATGTCACATTAGTCAAGGGTCCTCAGTTTACTCAATGATAGATAAAGGGTCCATTAAGGAAGAGGTTCCTCGCCAGCTGCAACACTTCTGATCACTCCCCACAGGCTGGGGTTATAACATTTCTATTATTAATATATTATTATAGCATGTTTTTTATTGTGTGGCTGTGCTCTATAATACACTTATGCACAAATATATGCTAGTGTAGGGAACACATCTGAATCCTGAGCTCTGTCTGCATCAGTGTTGGGAGTAACGCGTTACTTTTGGCAGTAACTAGTACCCTAACGCATTACTTTTTAAATTCAGTAACTCAGTTACCGTTACTACATGGTGCGTTACTCCGTTACTGCGTTAGTTTTTTTTATATAGTCAACAGCCAGGCGAACAGAGATGAGAACTGTACTTAAGTACTTGAGTAAATGTACTTTGATACTTCCTATGTCACATGCGGAGACGGGCTGTGGGCGTGTTTGTGTTGTTTACTAACAAGACTATCATGGCGGCGGCGGAGCTCAAGTCTAGTTTCTCCACCTGGAGATATTCTCACTATTTCACTTTTGTCGAGCACAAAGAAAAGAACGTTTTAGTTAAATGTAAGTTGTGTCTTGGCGGGTCAGAGATCCTATCTACTGCCCAAACCAGTAATTCAAATATCTTAAAACATCTGCAAAAACAACATGCTGGGACGAAGCTAGTAGCTAAGACCACAGAGACTCAGCCGACGCCACTCCACCTCCACCTAAGCAACAGCGGCTGGATTTTAACCAAGGGACTGCTAGCCAGGGAAAAGTCGATAAAGCCATTGCACGGTATGTTGTAGAACATATGCAGGCTATTGCTACAGTGGAGTCACCCGCTTTCAGGGAGCTAGTTAGCATGATAGCATGTCCGGGCGGCACACGGCATATGGGACGGAAAACTTTTTCCAACTACCTGGAGAAAGAATATACAGAAATGGAAAGCCAGCTAATATCGATGCAATCCAGATTGCATATAATGCATGTCAAGTTGATCAACAGATTGTATTATTCTCCAATGCAATGACAGTACTGAAATGAAGGCTATAAGGGCATTAATGGGAGCCCTTTTTTCAAATAACGAAAACGTTACTTGTCACAGTAACGCATTACTTTTGGGTGTAAGTAACTAGTAAAGTAACTGAGTTACTTTTGACATGAAGTAACTAGTAATGGTAACTAGTTACTGGTTTTCAGTAACTAGCACAACACGTCTGCACACATATTAGTAAAAGCCCCTCTTCATCATTTCCTGAGGAGACGTACTTAAATGAAGGCTTCACGTACATGGTTCCCGGGGTAACTGTGCTTTGCTGATGACATGCTGTGCTTGTTTCAGAATCCAAGAGCGTCCCAGACCCTGAGCTGGTGGTGAAGTTTGGCCCGGTGGACAGCACGCTGGGCTTCCTGCCCTGGCACATCAGACTCACAGAGTTCATGTAAGCTGCGTCCCCTAAATACAGCCATGACAGTTATAGATGGAAGCTTCAGGGGGTCTTTTTGTAAAATGGGTATATTGAACATGAAAAGAAGATGGCAGTGTGTTTCTCTGAATGTTGGTTGATTTGTCCCGCTCTGTCCTCAGCTCCCTGCCCTCCCACAGAGACGTCTCCTACGAGGACCTGTTGGGGGTGCTGCGGCGGTTTGGCAGCTGTCAGCAGCGGCTCGGACAGTGAAGTGCAGGCAGGAGGAAGTGCGGGGTTCACAGTCGGAGGAGAGTTTGGACAGGTGTGACCCCTCCATGCTTCGCTGTGTCCCCCACTACTCCACTCCCCAAATCTGTCCACGTCCTGGTTCTTGAGAAGACAGCCTGCCAGATCATTTCCTGCCACCAGCTCTTGTCTTATAATAAACTTGCATTCCAGGACTTCTGGAACATGCTCTCCAAGCCAAGAGAAAATAGCACATGAGACTCAGTGGCAGGAGAAGTGCGCACAGACTCCGTTCTGTCCTCTCAGAGCCTCAGCCTCCAGCTGCTGTTGTCTGCCTTCCCTCAGCAGATAACAAAGAAGAAGCAAGGCTTTGTGCTGGCAAATCCAGCTGCATTTCAGAGAGAAGCTCGACTCCCTAACACAGCCAAGGAGCGGAAGTGTAGCTGAGGGATAGAGTGCTTAATAATAGTGTGTAAATAGGAGAAATCCATGTGGCTATGTTTGTCCCTGTGGCTCCAGCTTGTTCATGTGTAGTGTTGCTTCAGACACATACAGAGTCTCTGGGCTCCTGTTAGACTGACCAAGCTCTGAAATAAAGAAATGCACTGTGTGTCTCCTGAAAGCTCTGAAGTATCACCTTAAATGACAATCCTGTGTGGAAACAATCCTAACTCCTCCTGATATCATAACTGAGTTATCACTCCTCAGGCAGCCACAGGGAGTTTGAGGAATAATGAACTTCTAAATATGCCTTGAGTTTAGAACATTTTTCAAACTACATGGGTCATATTGTGAGAGATTTTACAAACATGTCTATCAGTAATAATAAGTTTGTCCTCACCGAGTCAATAAGTGAGTGAAAAGACGTCTGACGGAAGAACCACCAGCCGTCAACTGATCAGCTGAAAGTGAGGTGAGAAAGATGAGGAGAAATGGTTACAGAATTATCCAAATGAGAAAGAAAACCACTAATACTCAAGTTTAACCAGAATGCACTGCAGCCACAAAATGTGTCAACACAGCTGACTGAGGCAGCATCTCACTTCGGTTATTTTTCATTACCTCACTCCTCAGGCTGCAGTCGAATATTCCAAAAATCAGCTCCTAAATTCTATCGCTATCGTCTATTCCTTGACCTCTGAGTGAAACGTCACGGGGTTAAGGGCTAGTGGATAGGAGAATTCAAAAGGACTTAGGAGAAGAGACTGCGGTACTTTAGAGAATCCGAATGCACTTTCACTCTCCGACGTGTTTATGATGCGCCAGCGGACGTCCTGAATGTGCGTCTGCTGCTGTGGGGAAACTATGGAAACTACAGTTTTCTATAGCGGACTACAACATGGATGTTTAATAAGAACGAGGGACTACTGTAAACTCATCTAGAGACTCTGCACCGTGCTCTGATGCTGTTGCTTTATGTTTTATGAACAGGGACAACAGAGAAACGTATTCTTCATGACCAAAGTTGGAATTGAAATAAAAAAGGAAAGTGAAACTTATGCTTGTCACCCTCTCCCTCCGGTCCACATTAATACAAATCATCCCAATACGTATGATTGTATGAAAAGATCTTAAAATCAATACAAATGTATTTATTATAAACGTTAGTCCTTAACATCTATCACTGTGTATATCACCATTCAAACATCTTTTAAAAGTTGAGCAAACCCCACACAGCTCAGTGAAATGTTGACTTTATTTGATCATTTCAGGAAAAACTAACGTTCATATTTCTCTCTTTGATTATAATACTGATGAACGTTCAAAACAAACAAACAGCAGTAATTAAAGTTTAAAAGTCTCAAAAATGCTACAACTACTGTCACAAACTGGATGAATGATGTATTTTGTTAAAGGAGGATGAAAGCGTAATCAAGGAGCACTATTGGAGTGACTTTGATGGTTATTGGACTCAGGATTAATTCATTTGGATTCCCGCTGTATGAAGAAACTAATGGACGGCGCAAGTGGAAACAATTCACAAAGGGATTAAACTGTTTAAAACACATGCTCAAAGTAAGCCGGATTTTGCCGATGTGTTTATGTGGATTCAAAAGTCGTAAATAATCTACAAAATGGAGGAGACCGATCTGATCGGAGCAACTGTGACAAATAATCCAATTGAAACCGCCATGGACAATGACTGTTTTAAAAATACACTTATCCAGACGAGCCTGGTTTGGACACTTTATGGGCAGAAGAAACATTTATATTAAAGAAAGAATTATACATTTGTCTTTTTATTCCTTTAATACTAACTTGAATTTTTATTACAATTAGTCAATTATTTTTTATATTTTATTGTAATGTAGAGACCAGGCTTTTAGTGACATAATCAGTCATAATTGCCTTACAATTATATGTAAAAAAAAAAAGTCTAAATATGATATTTGGCCTCAAATCACCTGGCGCGCCCCCCAGGTTGGGAACCACTGATCTAGAGCAGGGGTGCCCAACGTTTTTTGAACCGAGAGTCTGCCGAGATCTACCAGTCCAAATAGAGAGGCGTAGCCATTACTGACAGCCTACTACCAGGTAAATACACACTTCTACTTGTATAAAACTGACCTTTGTACGATGAATACTTCATAAAATACTGCAGATCCTTTATCTTACCTCTTTCTAATCTACACACATACAAGTATTTAACTGAAGTTACACAACAGTGTTGTTGATACAGAGTTTGAGTTTATTCACACGTCACTACAGTGGGTAATGTTTTCAAGAAACATTGAACAGTGCTGCCACATATGACACAGGAAAAAAAGAAAAGACTCTGAACCCTTTCTTTGCCATTATATAAAAATAGTGTTGCTACAAAAGTATAAATTAGGCTTACTAATAAGACAACTCAGATCTGAAGCTACACAGGAATCTGCTGCAACAGTGCAATAAAAAAGACAACATTAATAGAATCAAACCCTTTTTTTGTTGCATTTTAGTAGAGTATACAAATAAATGCCTTTAAAATAGGATGCAAGCAACACTAGTTTCTTAACCTGAATTGATAATAGACTATAAACAATTTAAGTTTGCATTCTTATACCATTGTGTACTTTAATTATAATGAATAAGTTCAAACAAACTAAAACTTACAGCTGATTAATAACGGTATCTAACTTGAGTTTTTATTATATCAAAAACCTGTTGAAATGCTACTGTTATTTTTACTGTCCCCCAAAAGCGCGTTGGCAGCCTCCAGGAATGCTTATTTCACAACTTCGCCGTCTTTGAAAGACTTCATGTGTTTCGCAAGAACGTGACTGACACGATAAGATGCTCTGGTAGCAGCCTTGCTCTTGATGTTGGGCCTGGTGAAAATGGACTGCTGTGCATTTAGCTGTCCTTTCAGGCCCCTCCCCTTTTGGGAGCGTAGGGCAGAATTAGGCATGGGAGCCTGCCTGCAGACCTCCACTGTCAGGACAGTTCCGGTGCAGACCTCCACTCTCAGAACACCTCCACTGTCAGTACAGGAAGTGACGATCCTGACGAACACGTTTTTTTCCCCGCCCACCGAATCACAATGGAGACTCATCACGGAGGTGATGAGTCCGCCCACCGTGCACTTTGGGTCGGCCTTGGTCAAGCCGTTTTGACCCCCCAGCCCGGTTCTCGTAAAAGTTTTTCGCTCAAAAGCATAGACTGTATATATAAACTCAAAAGACACCATGGAGGAATGTAACGGGAGTTGACAGGGGACTCTGCCCGCCTCACGAGTGCCTATTTTCGGACACTTTTTTTCACTTTCCCCCTATTTTCCCCGGTTTTATTATTTTTTGGGCTATTTCACCCGGTTTCTGGGGACATTGCCCGGTCTCGGGTGTCCCCCCACGGCCTGTGTCCAGCCCGCCCCCCACTCATCCATATATTAACGGATTTTGACCATTTTTGTTGCATTTTTCTCCCCTCACTGATCGAATGGCAAACGCGACCCACTGTCGGAGGGCCTCCGCGCCGGCCCGGCCTAGTGCCGGTGCTCTGACGGTCGGTTCCTCCGAACTGCGGGTTCGACTCTGATGGCCGGGAGGGTTTGCTGCGTAGGGGTGGGGGACTTCCCCCACTCTGCGTGTCTCTTCCTTCCCGGGCCGGCCGATATGAAGCGTGACCAAGACGCACCGTACAGGGGTCCCACGGGTCCCGCAGCGGGTCGGAGGTTCCCAGCTGGAACCTCCCCACCTCCGCCATATATATATATATATATATATATATATATATATATATATATATATATATATATATATATAGGGACACCTTGTATTGTAGTTAATATCAGTTCCGAAACAGGAAATGCACGCAAATACGAAATAAAATCGTATATATTTATATATATCTTGTAAAATACAAGACGACATCTTGTATTTTAGTTACACCCGCTACTGATTAATTCAGTCAAAATTAGACCTTGACACCGTCCACATAGCTATAGTGAAATACAAATAATAGAAAACATTAAGCCTCTTTGATGTAATAATCGGAGCAGAAACCTCTGCCATATAACACACACTTCCTTATTTATCTTTGAATAATAACGTAAAAATAAAGACGATATAGGCCTACTACAGATGATATGATTAACCGACAGCTGTGGGTATTTTATATAACAAGATGATTTGTCTACTTGTATGATACATATTTTAACTATGTCAGCATGACACCACTTAAGAGGGCAGTAGAAGTTAGTTAAAACCATATTTATTTTCTTAAAATTATTAGCCTCTTATTTATGTCATAAGCCTGAAAATGTTATGTATAATTATGTTACTTACAGCTCTATAGTCTAATTACTGTTTGCTATTACAATAGACTGTTTCACTTCACTCCTACATACTTTATTTCTCCCTTTACTGCACTATTGGATTAAGAATCTGCATATTAAACAATTTTCTAGAAATTATATCCATTTTAGATTCCATTGTGTATTAAAATGTCAATTATTTTCATATTTGGTAGTTATTTTTTCTGCTAGATCCCCTTGATGGACTCCTAAATTGCCCTTGTGGTGTGATGCGGGAGACAATAAAAGGCTTATCTTAAAGTAAACCAACATTCCTCTGTGGTGTTCATGGTATAATTAAGGTGAATTATCAAATGCTTCATTGAAAAACAAAGTCAAACACACAAAAACTGACAAAGTGTTCCAACTTCCTGTTGCCCTTTATTCAAACAACAGAAATGCATTCGCAGATCTCGTTTAAGAAGGTCCACATGTCTTCCATATGTTCAAACCTAAACTTGAATGGCTCCAAGATTGCCTCCGTCTCATCCCCGTCACATTCGTCAGGTTTTTCCTCCCAAAGCTTGACAGCCTCTCTTAGCTATTCCTAGCTTTCTAATGATATCAGGATTGTTTTTGTACTCCAAATATTAAGCGAAATATGTCACATTATATAATGACTGTCACCGAGTCATCATTTTGAGAAAAAGGCCTTAAAGTTTCCTCTTCTCTGGAATCCATCGATCTGATTGATTATTAGCGGAGCAAATGATCAAAATACTACGGAGGGAAGATATTTTCATTTGGAGGGGAAGCTCGCGAGTGTGTGTGTATACCAGTGGCATAGCCACCATAGGGCCAGGGTGGGCCCAGGCCCACCCAGTTTACTCATTGGCCCACCCTGAGAA